ATTCTCTTAAAATAAGCTGCTTTAAGCTATAATTTTTAAAGCACCCATGTACCTGCTTTTTCGAATTCAGTTTATTTTCCAGCTAATTTGCAAACACCCCCAACTTTTAGAAATAAGCACTTAATTCCAACTTAACTCACAATCACTAACTTCTGCTTTTAAATAAGCTGTTGCAAACACCACCTAAGTAAATGAACGGATTTATTAAGCATGCGTATTGAAAAGCGTTTGGTGTTTAGTACATAGTTTTATCTTTCCAAAACTGATTTCGTTTGGGCTGATGGTTTTGTGTGTGTGTGTGTGTGTTATCTTTTTGTGAAGATTTACTTGAGCCGACGCTTTCAACAGGATAATTTAGTTGGTAAGCATTTTGATTCCGGTCGTAATTCACGTAGCTGTAGGCCTCGTTTGGTTGATAAGAAGTGCAACGATTACACAATTACACTATCGAGTTCTCATAAGACCCCATAATCTCATCTTAACTAATCCTATCCTGGCAACCAAACGAGACCTAGAAGATTGTGTTATAGTTGCTTCTTCCTTTGGTGGAAAAGGCGGGAATTAGCATTCTTCAAAAAACCGAAAGGGAAAGAAGTGGCGAAGAATCATTCAAAGAATAGTCATCAGGATCACCAGGCTGAAAAGCTTGGCTCTGCTTTTTGCCAAAAGATTGAGATATTTCGTCTCTACTCGATTCCCACAATTATATACGAAACTTATGCCCTCTCGAGTATTCTTTTTCGTATCTACTCGGGAATTATGCTTGCATATTTATGTACCTTTATCTTTATTTTTTTTATCTCTTTATATCCCAATCCCAGAAGGGATACTATTGCATGATGAAATTGATGATGTGGGGGTGAAGAATGCACTTTAGACGATTGGCTTTTGCTTGGGGTCTACACATTCAAAACCTGAATCTTGATTCCTTTATACTTTAAGCAAAAGCCCATCATTCGATTTCTTGAACTTATGCCTCGTTTCGTTCGTAAGAAAAATCATGAGCTTATTTAATAATAATATTTGGTCAGTCCAATAACTTTTCAGATCGACCCGTAAAAATGAGCGTACGTCCCTGGATAGCCCAATTATACAGTTTATTTAGGCCCCGTTTAGTCGGGAAAATTAGCCATGATTAACTAAATAATTGTATTTTTTGTTTGATATTTGGTATCCCTAATAACTTATCGGGTCGACCCGGAAATATTATGTTATCATGCCTTTTAGAGAGTTTTTTTGCTGGACTTTTCGGGATTTAATAGAACAATTGAATTTTCATTAAATTATTTAATCTTATCTTGGCAGTTTAACGAAATCTCGTAAGATTTTACTGTATATACTATTATTATTCTTAGATGAGAAAGGATGGGCGGTTGTGTTTTTTTTTTTTTTTTTTTTTTTAATTATTATTTTCTTTAAAGCTTTTGCAGTTGGGAATCTAATACTTTTATGATATTTATTTATGATGAATTGTTTGTTGGCTTGTTGCAAGATGCAACCACCACTTTTGCTTTGCCTGTTGTTACCTTCACATTCACTCAAGGGTTTATTTTCAACCTGGTGCATGCCACGTTTGTTAATAATGTATTATTTATTTATTTTTATTTTATTTTTTGAGAAACTCTACCAATAGTTACTCGAAGAGTTTATAAATATTTATTTTATTTATTAATTATGGTCAAAGAAGTCCATAATAAATCCATAGCCCAACCTTTGGGGGCTATGAGCAAATAGTTGACATTAAGGTGGACTTTGCTTTATTTCAATTTCATATTACATTATATAATATGGTAATTTTATTTTTTTGTGAATATATATATTTAAAAGAATAGCATAGTTGACATTTATTTGCATTCGAAATACAAAACAAAAAGTATCAAATTGAAATAATAAATAGTATAAAAATTACTCCGTCGGCTTGTTTTTCATTGATGTTTTAGTAAGAAAAG